CACGAGGCTCCGGTGGTCGAGCGCGGCGGGACAGCAATCGGTCGAGCGACGGAGAAAGGGGAGGGAAAGATCGACGAGACAACCCGGACTTTCGCAGCCGGCGTGACAGCGCGAGGTCCAGTGACGAGGGTTTTCCAAGCAAGGCAGTCGAGCCCGCTTCTCGGGATAACTCTCGGGGAGGTGGAAAAGAGGCCAAGGCGGCACCGAAGGAGGCACCTAAGGATGCTCCACCTCCTGCTGTGAATGTGTGGACGCAGCGGATGGAGCAACAGAAAGCGGCATCGACGGGAACGGCTGAGCCAAAGAGTCCCACCGAGGAGCATAGAGTGGAGATCAACGTTGACAGTAGCACCATGACAGTGACGTCTCCTACCTCTCCCACCTCTCCCACCTCTCCCACCTCTCCCATCTCTCCCACCTCTCCCACTTCTTCAGAGAGAAAGGGTTTCCCCAGCAAACGGTCTGGCCCTCGAAAGGAGTTCAGAGAAGGCGGGGGTCCGCCAAAAGGCAGAGGCAGAGGGATACGCCCTGAGCGAGGAGAACGAAGCGAGAGAACTGACAGAGGCGACAGGGCAAGCGTGAATGGTCCGGACGGAGGTGGTAGAGGAGTGAAGAAGGAGAAGAGGGAACGGAGACCTGCAGAGCCTAAGAAATACGAGGAGACCCAACAACCGGTAAGTGATAAGATTATAAATTACTCTTGACCTTCGTTTGAATCAAATCGGAAAGGCTAAGGTGCAAGTCCTCACGGACGACAAATAGTATTCTTCGTTCAGCTCTGTTGCAAATGCTTTCCAAACGAGTTTTTAAAATTTCCTTTTGTTACAGGAACCAAGTTTTCTCAAGGATCGCTCACAAGAAAGTTAAAAGTTATCTTAATAAGTATCGCATTTCTTACCAACAGGTCTTCCACACAAAGAGCAAATTTGCTGCTCTCTTGGATGATGAAGAGCCATCCGAACAGGACACACAAGAACAGTTAGACGCCGAAGACGAGACGTGATGACATCTCTCTGTTCCTTTTTTTTAATATTATTACAAGTTAAACAAATGAATTGCAAGCCCCAGATAAAAAACATTGGTGTAAATCGTTAGGTCACCCTTCTGCTTTACCAGGGCGCATGCTAATTGATGGAAACCGCTGGCGTTTGTTACGACGTGACCGACTTGATTTGGTTGTAAGCACGGACACATTAGGTAGACCAGTGCAAGCCGCATTTCATAAATTTGAACTTTAATATATTTTGGTGAGATTCTATAAATGAGAGGGTTCGACTTTGCATTTTTCTTTCCTTCGGTCTTAGTAGCTTTGATGATATTTTAAACTACAGGTTTCACTAATTATTTTGGACAACTTCGCTGCTACTAAGTTGTTTCTTTCCGTGAAAATGTTGTTTTTTCGATTTTTTTTCTATTGAAGGTGAGATGGATTTAACGCTATTTTCTTATCTTGACTCGTTATGCGATCGCGAACATTTGGATGAAATTACTTTTTGTGTTGGAAGACGCCTGTTTAAGTGAAGCTTTGTAAGTGTAAAGAGTTTACTTTCGTGATGTTAGTCTTAAGAGTAGGTTCATAATCGATGATTGCTGCTATTATATAAGATAAAATGTGCACTTCAGTGCAGTTTTATTTTATTTTCTACCACAAAAAAATTGTGGAAACGGTTAAACGAGGGTTGAAAATCCGTCCAGTCCTCATGAGGTGTTTTTCTGGTCGTGGGGGAGGGTAGAGGAACCCTCTCAAACTCAGTGATCAAAGACTTCTTGTCGTTCGAAACCTCTTTTTTCTTTTCTTTTTTTCTTTTTTTTTTTTTTCGTATCACTGAAGTCCATACCAGCTTATTTAAATACGATTACCTTCCCCAGTGAGAAGTTAAATTTATTGGCTCGGAGCGGTAATTAATGCACTTAATGATGGTGCAGTGATTTTAATAAAAAGTTATAGTCTTGTTCACCTTGACTTTCTTATGGTTTTGAACCTGTGCTAAAATTAGAAACTATCAATTATTCGCCACAGAGACACAGCGTAGCAGCACGTTTCCCGTTGATTTTTTGGCAAAGTAAGCCAGTTTGATTTACATGTGGATGACAGCTGTGTCATGTTGAAACTAATAACACAAGTGACAGGCTGATCAATGTTCATTTCCGGGTTTAAAAAAAAAGAGGGAATCTCTCGACTGGGTACGTCTCGTTGGCCAGGTCGGCGTCTATGAATCTATCGTTATCTCAGGTTTCTGGCGAATCAAGTCTTCACCAGATAGGGTATGAAGTCAAGGGCTGAACAGGAACTGGTGCGGTCATGTAGACCGTCAAATAAGAAACAGCTCAAACAAAGCGAAATTCTTGGAATTATTTAACAGTTATCCTAACCGAAAAGGCAAGGTCACTTTCAAACACAAAATCTGAAGGCCACTCTCAACAAGCCCTCCCATAAATAGAATTTGATGTTGACTCGTGTCACTGCTAATGCCAAGGTCACGTAAGACGAAATAAATTAAATTCCTTCCCGCACACTTAGAAAGAGCTTATGGAACTCTCAGTTCACATTCTTGGCGCTCAAGCACGATCTTGGAAGTGTTATTTGTAAGTAAAGGGGGCCACGAAACGGTATGTACATCCTAAGAAATTTAAGCCGAATTTCCCAAGTGCGCCCGTTTGTCGTCCATTCTATTGTTGTTTGTCAAGTTCTTCCAAATTAGACACTCGTGTTACATAATGTTCTTCAAGTGGAAGGTGGCTTTGTAGGAGTGCGCAACTAAAAAGTTTCGTGACTCACCTCCTTAGAAGTTTCTGATGACATTAATTATTGAATTGATTGATAAATTAGCTAAATTATTTCCTTATTGAAAAGTTTAGTTATCCGACCCCAGAGTGATCGGGCTCTGCACGCATTTAATAATTGTTTGTTTTTCTTCTCGCTTAGCGGCTAAGTCTGTAAATGGCCGTTAGTTTACCAATAATAAAGATTTTCCAGCGCCTTAAAAGATTGAGCTGTGGTTAGGTCAGAACTTCAATTAGTTTCATTTTAGCTCAGCTTTAGAGCAACAATTTACAATCGCTAATATTAAGCTACACACAGGGGCACTGTCTGCACCTATTAAAATTGCATTTGTTTCTTTGGAAAGTTTCCATGCGGAGCCTTATCGTACGTGCATGCATGGTTACAGAAATGCGTATTTATTTCTGCGTATTTTTCCTACCGACAAACAAAGGAAGCACTCTTTCTTGTTTCAGTCAGAGAAAGTGCGGATTCCTGTGGCTAACTGACTCACACTAGCTCGAGGAAATTTTGTTATCTTATGACAAATCTTGTCTAAATTCGTAATTCCCGAGACAGCCCATGCAGTATGAATTAAAAGAGCTGAGTTAAATGAGCAATCAACACGGGCGACAATCCACCATTGTCTCTCGTATAAATATTTAGAAATCCATTTTAGTGCTTATGACCTGTCCATTCGAATTCAACACATCGAGTTTTACTTTCTAAAAAAATTGCATGCGACATTGATATGGTTGTTGATGTTATTTTCTTTTTGATTTGTTTTTTTTTGTTTTGTGTTGTTTTGTTGTTGTTTTTTTTTTCACAGCCCTTACGTTTTCATAATAGTGCTTTCAATTACTGTTGTTGGTTTTTTTTTCTATCTTTCATTGATTGATCGCAGAATCGAGAAAGGATCAGATCTAAGTCACCGTTTTCAATTTCATAATTATCCTGGTTTTCTGTCTTACTCAGCACACCCAAGGGAAGGAGAGATCAGTTTACAAATGCCCTGGGCCTCAGTGCATGGAACGCGTACTCTTGCTTTGTGTTGTTGCAACAAAATCCAGGTATTTAAATTCCGTCGATGGATCGTGTGGCATCTGAACCTTCGGTGGAGCGTGAGGCTGAGGTGAGTAATATTTTGAAATATTGAATTAAGTTTGTGTGAAGTGTTTACGATTATTATTTTAAAACTTAATCGAGGAAGATCGATGGTGGATTACTTCTCAGTATTACGTCATGTAGCTGATAGGGTCTTTTTCTTTACTCTTTCTTGGCAAGTGTCTAAGTTGATATACTTCAGACCTTCGAATTGAAGATCATTCTATTTGATTTTCACTGGTTGGCCTTCCATTTAAACCCAAAAGTGCCTGAACAAGCCACACATCACGGCGCCTAAGACCTTCGCGCATTAGAGCGGCGTAACATAATTAATTTATTAATATCTCAGAGAACATAAAGGTTGTAAGACTGTTGTTAGAGTTCATATTTCAAACAATTAAGTCTTATAACTGGCTTTTAAAGGAGTATCATATCATGGAAATCAACTTTAAAAACATGCTTAGCTTTGTGAATACTAACCAACATTTGCGGGGAGCGTCATTCACTTAACCATTCGACGAGTTGTAGATGCTAACTACAGCACGTCACACCACAGTGATAATCTGTTGAGCTTAAATTTTGGTTTTCGAAATCAGTTCGTGAAACGTTCATATCGTGATTCAGGAATTTAAAGAGCGGTACGCTTTCATGCTTTCAATGCGTTTCGATCATCAGATGATTCGTAGATGCAACTTTGTACGGAGAGGATTCCATTCGCTCGATCGACTTCAAAAGCGTGCAAGTATTGCGTCTCTTTGCAAAGAGTAACGAGCACGTCGCTCAGTCTTCGGTCGGTTGTGTAACATGCAGCCTTAAACGGATTTAGTCATCGATGTATTTGCTTAACTGACCTGCATAAGCATCTTATTCATTTTCCTAACGGTAATGCTGTTCTGTAGATAGTTCCGGGTAGGTAGTTGGCATAAAAAGTTTGTTTGTTTTGTTGTTCGAATTGTAAATTCAAGGATTGAGGCTATCGTTCCCTTTTTTATACACTGAAATACATCACCAATGAATTTTAGTAGTAAGACCTACCTATTTACACTGCGAAATAAACAAAGCAACCTTTCTTTAGAGTATTTCTTTTGTGATGAGATACAGTAATCATAAACGAATATTCAGTGGTCAAATCGAAGACAGAAGAACAACCAATAAGCCTGGTTTAATCTAAACAACGAAACTAATTTTGACGAGATTTCTAGTCATGCAGAAAATGATCTTCGAGGTTGGATTGGATGTTATTGGACAGAAAGATTACCGAACTAGAATTTAAGACGAGTAAATACAGGAAAATCTGAGTTTGTACTTCAAGAAGAGAATAAATTTCTCGTTGAGAGCAGTTAAATAAAATTATGATAAACAATGCAGCAACTACCTTATGGACACTGAATTTTGATGTGTTTTTTTAAGGATTTAAGGAAATCGATGGACGGCTTGAAATTTTTTTTCTGGATCAGTTGCAGTTTCGTTTCAACTTTGAGTATAATAATCCCAGAAGTACTTTTCGAGGAGGCTTCCCGAAAGCACCCGCTTGTTCTATTACGTGGCGCGCTTATTGAGTAAACTATCGATCCTTGTGTGGCTTTAAAAAATTATTTAAAATTGCAAGGGATTGACCTGATTCCGGCTCAGACAATCTGAGCTCGAGATCACCGCCGGCGCAAAACTTTTAGAGTGAGCGATGGAAATTGAACTTCATAGGCGAGCAAGGAAATACTTATCGGCTTTTGAGCTCACAGTGGGATAAACATAGGACATGTAAAATTATATATATAATAGTGCCTTTCTCTTAACAGTTCCCTTCGAGTTTGTCGAATTGAAATAGACTTTGTGCGAGGAGATGCAGATATTTTTGATGGGAAAAAAAATTGTTGATTCATCCAATTTAGCTGGCGTGGCTTTGGTCAGTACTTCATAGAGGCATGTTTTTTATCATTATAATCTTTATTTATTTGGTTTTTCATTTCTGGGTTGCAGCTGTAATAAGTTGAAGCGACTTTTATGTTCAATTTCCTAATGTATGTAAGTCTACGGGAAAATATTTTGAAGAAAATCGACTTTCTATTCAAGTGTCAAGGAAGTGATTCTCATTTTAATCAACGCATTAGTACTATCACACATGTTCAGCTATTTCTTGTTTATCCATCGTGCTTTCACATCCTAATTTGATTTTCTGTGCCCAGATTAATAGCTGGGTGACCAACAGTGCTTTAAACTTCATAATAGTGACGAGAAATGATCGAGAATAATAACCCTCTCTAAACAATATGGCACCCGACATCATGTTAAGTAGAGAATAGTTAAGAACAAGCAAAAGATGTTCCGAATTGAACTTGCCGCGATATTGGACACGTATGCAACAAAATCATCAGTGGAATGATTGTTTCAACTTCCATATCTTAAGACGTGTGTGTATCAAAGGCGGTAGG